TAAAATATCCACCACATAATTTGCATGTCAAGTGTTCATTAAGTCTGGCCAAACACACTCGTTGTCCACCACTCTGCCCTGACATTCTATAACACAATACACAAAAATTATCAAATATATCATCTTTGTATAAGTAAAATTAACAAAGTTTAATAAAATTAAGTATACCGTTAATTATAAAATTGATAATGTAATTTGATCATCAATTATATCAATACAATAATACACAATATTTATCTATGGCATATTTACATAAGTATTTATTTAATTATTATTAAAAGAATGTTAAAATTAAAGAATTTTGATAATTCCGAATATCGTCATAAGTAAGATGTAAATAGCACTTTTTCAACAGTCTATAAATAACTTTTTAACATGGTATCTAAATTCTTATAAGTTATTTAGTTTACAATATAAAACCATTTTAATTCAAACAGCAAGTGAGTCAATAGCTGAGAGTCATAAAAAAATGTTGAAAAATTAAATCTAAGATTATATAAAAATTAATTCTAATAAATTTATATAATCTAATCTAATGTAATAATTTCTTTTACTTTACACAAAAATATAAAAATAGAGCTGTATGTTCAGAAACATTATCCTATGTATGTTTTATTAATATTTAGCGTTCAATATTCAATGAATAAGATTAAAATAATACATGAAAGCATTCAGGAATATCTTCTACTTGACATTCCACAAGCATAATTTGGTTTTGTTTAACATTTGATAAATAATGATTCCACAAATGCCGCGAGCGTCAAGTGGAACACAGCCTAGGTAGTATTTCTGAACGTAGCTCAGTGTTATGGTAAAATACGTTTCTTTAATCATTAAAGAATGAATTCACTTGAATGCCATGTTATATAAGTCTTTTTACATTTATCTAATCTGTTAGAGCAAAATTATGTTAAGTATCTTGGTAATACAAGGTTACTCAAATATATTTTCTAAGTAACATATAAATGTACAAATCTATTCTATCATATACAAGTACATGAATTATGTTTACTATCAAATTAACAGGTGATTAAATTAATACCATAATTTTATATGAAATACACACAGCCGATACATAATTCATATTATTAATATAACCAAACTAAAAGACAGTGCAACAGCTGCTAAATACAAACGATAAAATTGATTGGAGCAAAAGCGAAGGATATACAATAAGATTAATAAGATTAACGAATTTATTTATATATATATGTATGACACCGTTTCTTTCCAAAGGGAACGGTAATCGAATAACGGTTCAGAAAATTGAAAAAACATTCATGGAGTCATAATATATGGAACGATCTCTCAAACACATTTGATGTTTCATGAGCAACAAAAAGAGATGTTAATTACTTAGTGCCGCTTGGTACATACATGCCGCAAATGTCCTGGACAGACTTACGTGACGAACGAAGCGAAAATCGTCCGTTTTATTTAGTAATCGTCATTTGGCCTCAAAAGTCAGGAAAGTTGGGTCAGATGTAACTTGTCACGGGTTGCCATCACATCCTGAGAAACTGGATTTCTTACATTCTTCGAGCGACGATACTTTCCGCAAATGTACGGGAGATTGATAAAGCGGTAATGATGCACGATCCAATTCGCTTCAGTAGCGTGTATTCATCCTAAAATAGACTACAATGCTACCGAAAACTGCGCGTACGACAGCAGAACAAAATGGCGGATAAACAATCGTATGTGCGACACTCGGGAAAACATTGCGCAGCGCCCCAAATTAGACGAGTTCGACATCAAAACTTGCGATCTCTCCGATAGTATGAGCGGCACAAAATGGCCGTGCGTAATTATTCACATATTATTACAGCGCAGGTAACCAATCGCGAAACTAATTTAAAGAAACCATATTGCTCCATGTCCGCATATATATCGAATTCAATATTCAATCGCTTGCATCATTTTGCGTAATGGCTGTTATACATGAAAGTCCGAGCTCGAATCAGACTAGAGATTGAATTTGACCAATCGAAGCAAAGTTTACTAATCTTGATATTAGTTTTCTTTCTCCTGATTGGTTAATTTCAATGCCCGTCTAATACTTTAGGCTGATATTCACAAGTGCTATATATTTGCTTTGTCGCCGCATATCGCAGCCAATCGCAGCGATTAACTTATTTATTATTTAGCTGAATTAAAAATTAAAAATACAATAATGTAATTAAAAGATATGGAATATGCGAATAGAAATTTTATTGCTATTTAACTTAAAAATTAACACAGAAAAAAATGTTACAAATATATTTGTTCAGAAATTCTTATCACATTATATAGTTCCTATTTATTTTTCCAAAACATTTTTAAGCTCATCTTTGATTAATAAAAAACACTCTTCCGTAATATCGTGAAGAAGATTAATTACATCATTTTCTGTCAAATTATTGTATACAGTTTCATCTAAAATATATGTGTATATGATATAATTATATTCTATAAAAGAAATTTTGTATTAAACTTAAATTCTTACCACTAATTGTTAAATGACCAAAGAGTTCGCAAACTCCAGGTAGAATTGCAGTTATGTTTTTTACACCAGTGAATGGTTTTCGAACCCAAATATAAATACGTACATCATTATACAATTCATCATTAGATTTTGATTTCGCTCTTGTAACATATACATTATGTGCCATTTGACGTAATTGTAAATAGTTTACTACAACGAATGCACGAGATGCGAAAGCTTCAATATTTTTAAAATCAGATAATTTGAGACAGAATCCTTTTGCTGGATACTCTATCAGCAAGTGTACACCAGATACATAACTGCATATATCCTAAGACAAAACAAATGTCGATAATATTTTGCAAATATTTAAAAATCTCTCTTTTTCTTCCCCCCCTCATTCATGATTGAATATAATATTACTTACGATATATTCAAGAAGCATCTCATATTTCAAATAATATAAATGCCAGTGTAAATGATTAACAGAGGCAAGAGCACACAAACCATTAAAAAAAGCCCTTAAAGACCTAAAACAAAAAAATGATATTATTTTGTCATTTTATTAAAGGTTTCTAACATAACAATGATTACCATGAATTACTTAACAGACATAATTCTATTACTTTGCGAAGACTATACTCTGTCATGATTTGTGGCAAACACTTTAAACGGTCTGCAAGAAATAAACAATGACTCTGTTCCAAAGGACTGGCATTAATTGCAATTGTGTCGCCATTTCCTATATCAAATAATATCTCTTGCTGTGTTAGTTTAGTGAAATTAAAACGTGTAGAACTAAAAGATTGTGCCGTAGACGTGATTGATTCTGGAGCACGTCTGTACTGAGCTCTATCTGGATTTAACTGAAATTGCCATTGCATTATGCGTTAAATATAAAACATATATCCTTTTTGCATAACAATAAGGGTACCTGTGCTAAAACTTTGTATTTTCCCTTCAATATTTTACTATCTTTTATATTTAAAATATATCGGAATGTTTTAATTTCTTCAGCTTGTTTCCATGTTTGTTGCAAAATACTATCAAATGAAGATTCATTTTCCTCATATGATTTAACAATAAAATTAAAATCTTTTGTGTCATAGACAAATGTGGTAATCTGTTTGTTTGAAAACATATTGCATAATTATATGTAATTTATATCAAATATGTTAACTACGAAAATTGAGAGCTGAGAAGAATCTTCTGAATAATTACTGAGCAAACTATAAAAATAAATACATAAATATAAATATATAAAAATAATTATAGATGCATATTTGTGATAGTTTTTGGTTATAGGATGGACACGTTGGACACACACTATATGCAGCAATATACCCACAGGACACACATCACATGTATACCAACTGTACAGGAAAGCGAGAAAAGTAGATGTTCCTACATAGTTTCCATCCACTTCCTCAGTTAGTATTAGTGTACGAGATATCTTGATATTACAGAAAAAAAATTGATGTAGCCATTTTCAAATTCTCTGTAATATTATACCTGATTACTTTTATCTGACATAACACTTTATACCTAATTATTTTATCATTTCCAAAAAAACAAAAGTTGCTCAGATAATACGTCTCTCTTGGGTACATTTGGATTTCCCATCTGGGTGTCCTCCGTTATCTAAAGTTATTCGAATTCCCTCAACCTCCTCTTTTAAAGTAATAAAGCGACACAAAAAATGTTATGTAATAAATGTTATAAGCGCAAAACAGAACGCATCTATCGTCAGACTGCCATATAAACCATCGATGATTCATCAATATTATTTTAATTTTAATTTTGTTTATTGTTTTTTCTATTTCAAGTGCGTTTCGAAACATATTGACAATTTGATATTGTTTCAAATCGTATTTAAACTTCCAAAATATACGTAAAAACCGTATGCCTCTATTATATTTTAAATTAAACCCTGTCTGTCTTAAGCATAATTTAAATAAGGTTCAAAAAATTAAAAAAAAATTGAGTACCAACTCTTGAATATCAAAATCTAGATAATTAAAAATAATCACTAAATTATTATCTGTAAGTTTCATCGGTTATCAGAACTCAAGTTAGATTTAATTCGATTTATTAAAATACGAATCAAACATCATAACCAAAAATTTTAGATATATTCGCTTGTTCTTTTTAACTGAACTTTTGCAGGTCATCTTCCTCTTTTCTCCTGGAAAGAAAAAATGAACCGGTGCAAAAGTTCAGCTAAAAAGAACATGCCTTACATATATTACTATAATCGAATATAAAAGATATTTGTATAATTAAATATATAGAGTATAGAGAATATTTACAATGAAACTTTAATATATTGCAAATTAAGTTACTCTCCAATTTGATATTATATATCTCAAAATAATATATAAGAACATATACAAGAAAATTTAAAGGATTTAGAAGAAAGTATTAAAATAAATTTGTAAATTATGTATTTTTGTAATTTTTTTATTTGTAGTAAGAAAATATTTAAATGTATTAATAGAAATTGTATATATATTATACATTGATACCTCTAAATATTTTGAAAGTACATTTCTCTATTCTAGCCATTCTTTAATATAGTGACATTTGATAGGTGTAACAGGTCCTTCGTCATGGCATTGTCTTCTTACCTGAAAAACAAAAACTAACGTATTATATTAAATATATATTTTTGAAAATTATAAAAACTGAGGCCAATATGAGCTCAAAACAGAGACTGCGATAACATAATTATGTTTTTCATGCACTTAAATTACTCCTCAATATGCTGGTTTCTATTATATATATCTATATATCTATATTAAAGCTCTCCTTGGCCAAAAATGAATTCAATGTTCAATAAAAAACCGGTAAAAAAGGTAATTATACTACGAATATCTGTATTTTTAGACTTGTATTGGTCTTTATTAATTTTTTTTAATAATATATAGTTATAGAAAAGCTAATTATTATTATTTATACGATTTTATTCATTCAGTCAATAATTTCTGAAATAAACATAATGTATTTGTAATGTCTTACTGGGCACAGACCACAAGGAGTTTTAACCAATCCCATTGAGTTCAACAAAGGTTGAATTGCTCTGTATAAATTATTTCCATCATTTGTGACCGTCCGTTCAACTTTACCATCATAAATTAACGTATTTAAAATCACTTCTATGTTCGTTACAGTTAATTTCACCTATGAAAATATCGATTTTTTTTTAGTAACAAATATCGATTTTTTTTAGTAACTTTAAACGATATTAAATAACACATAAAAAATACAACCTTGCTTACTCCTAAATCTGAAATATACTTCAACACATCCTTAGACGAAGCATATGTCATATTTCTTGCAGCAATAGGTCCAGTGTTACAATTTTTCGTCTTTTCCCTTTTTTGTTCCAAAAATCGATAACATTGTTGATTCAATACATCAACAAATTCTGTTTCAAAATCTTGATCTTGATACCAAGCACCACCTGTTACAGACTCATCTGGTTCTAAGTTGTATAGCATATACACTTTTTTCTTACTGGCTGCTACAGGTTTAACAACTTTGACGAACTTGTTAGTTTCTAGACTTTTCAAAATTTTTTCTAATGGTTTATTCATCAAATTAGATTTAATTTTTATATCTCGAATCCATATTCCCTTGTTTCCTGCTTCTTCAATAATTTTATATACTATTTTTTCTTCATTGTCAGTGCACTTAGCAAGTTTTGTTGGATCTTTCAAGCGATAATACAATGAGTTTGCTTGTTTAAAAAGATCAAAGTATCCTTGAGATAGAAGTTTATTTATAATCTTAGCTCGTTGAGCTGGTTGTAAATCAGGTATCGAAGCAGCTAAATCTATGTCCGAAATACCTTTAGGTTTTTCTCGTGCAAGAGCAATTATTCTGTAAGAAAAGAAATGAGATACATAAATCCTGATAAAGCAATAAATTTAATAATAAAATATAATGTATAATGTAATCAAATCTGATTATTTTCCACTTCAATAACTTACAATCTTTTATGAAAATTTTATCAAGATCTTATAATAAAACAAATACTAAATACAAGGTAACATAACGAACTTGTATCAGCCAAAAATTAATATTTCATTGAAATAACTCAAAATTTTAAACAAAATCAATATATGGATATATAACACTATTATTAGAGATAAACATTTTAATTGAAAGAAAGCATACAACTAATATTAAAGTATTAAACCAAAGTAAAATAAGAGGTTCATTTGCTATAACTATATCACAATTTTGATTTTCCATTTTTTTTCTCATAACAAGATTATGTATTACATATCAGCAAAGAGAAAATGATGTAACATGATGTAATAAGTTTACATTCGTACTTTTGCTCAATTGTTTCAGGCCCTTCATGTTTCATGGTACTACTGGCACTTGCGTTCTGTTCTACTTCCATCATAAATAAAATGATTGAAAATAATTTTATTGTATTATGCTAAAAATTCTTTCATCGCTGTTTTCTTAAATAAAATTTTTGTAACGTTAGTATTATTCACGTCAATTTACGTGCAAGCTTGTATGTTCCGTTCAGTCGAGGAGTCGAGTATTTTGAGGTTAGGATTGCTTTTTAGCGTTCTCAGCTCGACCGGGTTTCGGGGTTTGCACCAATTTGCACCAACCTGGCAATCTGGGGGTCGATCGTCGATTATGTATCTCGAAATGAGGTGAAAATTACAAAAGTGAGCAAATTCACTAGTTATTGACCAATTAAATTATGAGTATTCTAGTGAATTTGCTCACTTTTGTAATTTTCACATTTGATTTGTTCGCGTCGCATGCTCCAACATGTTCCAACATGCTCCTATCATAGTTCCTACTCACTCTATCAAGCGCGTTGGAGTGAGTAGGAGCTATGGTAGGAGCATATTGGAACATATTGGAACATGCGACGCGAACAAACCTATTAATTCGAGATACAAAATCGATCCCCTGAATCCTGAATTGGGAAAATGCTTTGCTATTGGATGACGTTACACGCTCTATCAATAGAGCACATACGAAACATCATTAATTTAACAACCCTATGTTGGTACAAACTCGGTCGGTTATTTGCACTTTTTACATTCAAGCAATGCGACAAACCTATTGATCATTTGTCAACATAGCAGGTTACATGTTTGCAGGATTACAAAAAAGATTTTATTGGGTAATAAAAATATTCAAAATTCAAATGTTTGAGCCACGTGGTTTTATTCACAGTTCATCTTTTTATGCTAAGAGTATATTATAACTAGAAATATGTGTGTGTGTGTGTGTGTGTTCATACAGACAACTGCATATATTTCTTTGCTAGATTTAAGATTCCCGTAAAAAAATGCGCGCTATATTTTTATCTATTGGAATTATATAGTGGATTCTTTTTTAACATAAATGCGAAATTTAATAAAGTAACATTTTATTAAAGCTTACGATAATTCGTAGAATACGAAACGTTCATTTAATTGATTAATTAGTATCTTCCACAGTTTCATTAATCTTAGAATGCCGGAAAAGCCACTTTTGTGGCTATTGAGTGTGGATTAAAATATTATTTTTGATGGGGCATTTTAAATACTAATTGTATTAAACATATACATGTGTATATTGCCCAAAATATATAAGTATTGAAAAATATACAAAAAAAGTAAAAAAATTATAAAACAAAAAAAAGTAAAAAAAATACATAAAATAAGTTTAAGAACCAAACAAAAAAATAGTCAAAAACGAGCTATAAACTTTTTACGTTAGTCGTTAGCTCTGGGTAATGCTAAATAAAGGAAAGTTCTCTGCATGAGTCTATACATTTATATTCATTTATGTTGTCAATATTACGTTTAGGGTTCGAGATTTCCTAAATCTATGCTCAGAATTTGAATCAGCGATATCAAGAACCCTGAAATACACTATTTTTGAGAAAATAAAAATGTCTTTTATTTGATCGTACGTGCCTGCGGGAAAGCCACTTTTATGGCTCTGCACAAATCTCGATATTCTGCGCCATGGGTATGTTACTTATATAAAAATAATTTCGAGAAAAAAACCACTATTTTAACAGAAAATGTCGGCTGTCTAAAAGTTAAGTATAATATACACTGTTAAAAAAAATTATGGCATAGAAAAATTGTGGGCAAAAGTTGGCCAACTTTGACTTAACGATAACTTTACGAAAAATTATCGTAGGATAACGTTTTTTTTTTTAAATTAAAGCTTGAAATCTTTACTTTAATGCTATGATTAGATTTTAAATTTGATGCATCCCTGCCGCTGTAACTCTAAAAAATATGAGGGTATGTTTGTAAGTATATTGAAAATTGCAAAGTTTAACGAAATGCACGGACTTTGTAAAATTTTTTTTGGAATGCCGTTTACAGCGGCATAAAGTTCAAACTTTTCCCTTTAATTTAAAAAAAAAAACGAGTCGCTGTGATTTTTTTTCGCAGTTACAGCACCTTAAAGTTATCCTTCCATTGACATATATTATCGACGTTACCTGTATTACGCGATATGCACCACACGATGAGATTGTTGGATGGATTTTGCACGTTTCTGCGTGTATGTAGATTTTGCACATCGTGTTTCTGCGTGTAAATGTCAATAACGCGTGTTGCCTCCGCGTTGCTCGATTACTACTTGCAGTCGATTCCTCATATTAATGCAGGCCCTAATTTCTTCCTGCAAAATGTCATTCCAGATTTATACTAGAACTTGTTAGTCTCTGAGACTGACAGGTTGTTTTGCCAAATCTCTTAATCTATGACCCATTATTTAGTACAAATCTGGAATAACATTCTGCAGGAGTATCAGTGCGCTCCTCGCCCTGATGAAGTGAACGGCAAGTTTCACGAAACGTTGTCATTATAGTAATGTATTTTAGTGTTGTTTGGTTATATACATATATTTTATCAAAGAATTAAAATTTTCTTTATGTTGAAGCTATTTTATCTTTTTTTTTTGTTATATCTTTATCATTTATTAAACAAAAATAAGAATATAATGACGCAATAGTGTAAATAACGCGCTTCCCGAATGCAGCCTTTGATTTACATTAACGTGACCAGGTATTTTCGGATCTAAAGATACCTATTATTATGTGTGAAGAATAAAGAATGTATGGATGTAAAGATAAATATAATAATAGCAATATATTTTTAAAAAATAATGTGTAATTATTAAACCTTTTTTTTTAAATTTAAAATTTGTAGATATTTATGATGACAATATCGAATGAAATCTATTTACTAAATATTGCAATCTAAAATTGATATTAATTGGAAAATATGTAGAAAACTGTTTTAATTGTAATACTATAATTCTTACAAAGTTTAAAAGTTTTTCTGTTGCTTGTGACTCATAATGCTAATACTAAAGATGACTAAGTCAGAAATTAACTACGCTAAATGCTTATCATAGTTTTTCTTATTTGACTAGCCACTGCTGTATCTGTAAGCCATGTTCCGATGTACACTGCCAGTACTAAGAATCTATAATATACGTGAATTTTCTTTACGTGAAGATCTTTAGTCCTGACAGTATATCGGAAAACAATATTAGTTACAGTTTTAGTGTATCTTTTGCCATTCGAGTAATAACTTGTACATTGCGGGTAAGAAAATTATAATGGTTTTAATACTTTCTTATTAATCATATAACATCAAAACTTTAATTTAGAATAGACAAGTTATAAGAGAAGAATAACGTGCGCCGTTATGAAGGTTACATATGTTTGTATAAAATAAAAATTTATTAAACGATTTATAATATTTGTCAGAATTCAGGATAAAGATCAATTTTATGTAACATACGAAAAAAATATATGAAGAATTAAAAAATATACATAAAATATATATTATATAAATATAACATATACATTATTAAGATGCACATACATATATTAAGATATAAATATATAAAATCATAAGTATAATTTTATCGTAAAATTTAATGCAAATTATAGATTATCTATAAACTAGACTTAGAAAATCTATTTTATAGTACTTCATGATTTTTCTTTCAATTCTATAAACTTTATCCAGCACTAATTGAATAATTTTTATTCTATTATAAAATATTTATTTAAAAATTTTATTATGAAAAAAGAATTTATATTACAAAATACAAACATATAGGTAATTTGATTTAATAACTATACTTTTAATAATTGTAGTGATTTACTTGAATGAAAATTGTCTTCTCAAGATTGTAATTTTTTCACCATGATTTCTGAAAAGTTTAATAGTCATGGCAAATAGACAGCAACTTTTTGTTGTCTTATGCAATAAGGCGGTAAAAAATACATTTTTGTTAAAATCTACGTGACAAAAAAATTGTCAGCAAAATTTTGTTATCTCTAATTGTGTTTATTTAATATATTTACAAAATGTCTTAAAGTTTAAAATATGTTAATATATAAAATTCTCTATAATTAGATCGTTATATAAATATTATTCATTAATCCTTCAATTGCCATTTCGTTTAGTTATAGTAGAACATGTAGTAATTAAATTTCTCAGACATATCGCTAATATTTTCGTATTAATTATCATTTTTATTTAACAGGAGAATTAATTCAAAGAAGTATAATATTTTAATAGCGTCATTATGTACATTTTTTAAATATAAGTAATCAAATTAATCATGCATATATCTGACCACAATTATTATTCTTAAGAAACTGTCGACCCAATTTACTCATTAAAAATATTCATCAACAGATTCTATCGCAAAATGAAATTCAGTTACGTAATATTCATTTGTTCATTGGTCATAGTATCGGCCGTGACAATGATAGAACTCGTAAGTAATTATACTACTCTCAAAAATCTGTTGAGTAGAATCTAACTCTAAAAAAGAGTGAAATCTCATTCTTAAAAATTAACAATTGAACTTTTTTTCAACACTGATTCAATTGTCACTCTTTAGAATTAAATTCTACTCCAAATATTTTAAATTTTATAATAGTTTGTAGTAGTATTTTATAATAGTATTATAGTATGTATATATATATATAAATAGATCATTTTTCTATTATATAGGGCTTGAATTATAACAATGTTTATTTTTATCGCTTCTTTATTACATATACAAAATGCAAATTAATTTTGCATTTAGTAAAATTATTTAGAAAATTGCTGTGCAAAAATATAAAATAATGTATGCACTCTGTTTATTCTTTCAATGGACGTATAAATTATACGAACTGACTGCTATAAAATACATTTTTTTTTTTTAATAAATACTTATGTGTATAATTATGTTTATAAGAATTTTATAGAAAATATTGGATATAGTACATGAAATATTATTTTATACAACTATTGAATCTTATCAAAATTTATCTGAGCCTTTCATTTTACAATATGTAAATTTAAAATTTTCAAAGATAGGAGTAATATTATCTCTATAATTAGCAATATTATCTATAATTAGCAGTATTATGTCCATAATTAGCAATGTTATCTTAAGCCTTGAAATTTGAAATGTTGCACGATTATGCATATATTGGATTCGAATAAAGAAGTTCAAAGTGCTACTTTATTTGTATCATATCTATTGAACTTTTAAAAAAGAAATTGGACAATTATACCATTCGATAAAACAAAGTTTCAGCTTTAAGAATCTGTTTTTTTTTTAATTGCAGTACAATGATTTTGTAGTTATGAACAATCAAAGTCAAAATACTCTTTTTAATCCGCGATAATTTAGTAATAAAAAAATCTTAAGAACATTTAAAAAAATGATTTTGTAGAAAAAACTTTAAGCTTTTACGTTAGAAAGTAAGAAAATTTCGTAAATTCTTTTTGAGCAAATGACAGATCCATAAAATGAGAGGAAAATTTTCTATTTTGTGTCTAGTTTGTAGTTTTCTTATGTAGAAATGACCAAATTCACAGAAACTCAAAAGACCTTTCGAAAGTAGTTCAAATTTAAATTCGTTCATTTTTAATAAAGTTACAACTGCTTGGATTTTACGCTACAAATTCTTGTTCCAATTCAATATTTTTAACTTATCCCTTAAGACTCCTGAGAAGAGAAGCTGTGGTCATGTTGAACGTCATAATAAAACGAGAAATGATACATTAAAGTTTCTTGCAAGCTATTTGTAAATAAAGAAAATTTGAATAAAACAAAATGAGATCGTTTTAAAACACTCGTAAAAAATAGACCGAAGCTATGCTTACCTTCCTTGACAGTCAACAAATAATCATAAAAGGCACATGCCTATATTTAACTTCTGTTATATATTATATACGTAAACATATAACTTTATTATATATGCAGAATGTTCGGTAATTTATCTCTCGTGAGCAGATATAGCATAAAAACTATAATAAGGTCGTGTTCGAATACATTATCAGTACTGACAAGTTTACATCTATAGTTTACATTATGTATACTATAGATTTTCAGTACTGACAATATATTGGAACAAGGCCTAAATAAAAAAAATTTTATACCGTTTTGTCTCTCAATTAATAAGAAATTAATAAAGATCTGCGAATAATCCGATTCAGCAGCGAACGTAGCAAATCAGCAGGGACATTACATAAAAAATTATTCATGTTTTTTCATTAGTTTATTTTTTTTATTCCGCGAAATTAACGTTTTTCATTCACCATGTTATTGCTACTAAAACTGCACGATTAGTAGCTACATAATAACCTGATAAAAACGAGACTAATAATATTCATATAAAGTAGTGTTGTAATGTTAATTTTTTTTTCCCAGACTCATAGTACCTTCAACTCTTGCAATCCAGGCCAATGGATTATGACAAATACAAAAGTCGACTGGAAGAATAAGACGAAAATGATTTCATGTAACATTACTTACAAAGAGGTACAAACTTGTTAATAACTGCATTTATACATACAAACTCACTGTAGAGACCTATACTGGTAACGAAGTACCTAAATAATATTGATATTCTTTCTATTTTTTTTTCATACCGGTATGGCAAACCGAAATGATAAAATACTGGTAAAACATGATACCGATATGGATATATATCGATTCGAATACCGTATAATATCGATTTTATATTGATATCAGCGTTATTAAATAATAATACTATTTATTTATTGTCTCGGATTAGTTCAAGTAAGGATCAAATTCATATAAAATTATGTTTGATTTTCAAAAAAGTTGTCATATAATTGCCAAAGAAGTTAAAGGTAAATTAGTAAGCTTAAAAGTTGATTGCGCTACATGCATGGACCGCTCCTTTTTAGGGGTAAATTTACAGTACATATACAACAAGAAAATAGTGTTAAAAACTCTTGCCGTTGTGGAAATGACAGAACGTCATACAGCGGAAGCTCTTAAATTAGAAATATTGAGCATACTGAATATATATGGCATATCTATCCATCAACTGTAGACCATAACAACAGATAACGCCTCCAATATGCAAAAAAGGATAAAATTGTTGGGTAGCCAGCAGCTTGTAGATATTATTCAAGAGGAGAATGTTACAGAACATTCTGATGAAGACGATGCGGACGCACACATGGTAACATGGAATGAATCAGATGATTTTTCTGATATAGTTTTGTCAGAACCGTATGAATTTTCCGCTGATGCGGAAGGTTCTTCTGACACAGAAATAAGAAACTACGCTGGTCATCCCGTAGTAATAAGTTCTCCTGAGTACAATGTACGGTCAATAAGCTGTGCGGCGCACATTTTACAGTTAGCCATAGGTGATACTTTCAAAAGTTGCGCTCTGGGAGAAACAATTGAGAATGCACGTAAATTAATGAAAAAATTACGAACGCTGACATTAAAGGGGATGCTAAAAGCATTGAAGCGGCGTAAACCAATAATTGATTGCATGACTCGATGGAACTCAACAGTTGATATGTTGGAGCGGTTACTGGAGCTCCATGATATCTGCGAGGCCAATGAAGAGCTTCATATGACACAAGAAGCATGGACAGAGATTAAAAGTATTGTCCAAATTCTTACGCCATGCAGAGTAGCCACTAAAAACCTACAACGTGAACAGTTGACTTTTGGGGATTTATACAAAGAATGGACATGTTGTATCTTCCGCACACAAAAGTTTGGCACAACATTATCTGAAGCCTTAGTGCGAGCAATGAAGGCCCGAGAAAGGCAACTTTTTCAATCAGAACCATTTCTCGTAGGATGCCCGTTTTAGTGTATTATTATCCGCGCAGGAAACAACGCAAGCTATGATTTATATTCGAAAGATATAGCTTCATATGCAGAGAGTGAGAAAAAACACAAGCGCCGATACAACACCTGATACAGCAGTTTCTGGATAATAAGGAATCGGATGCAGATGAAATGTAGACATTGCTCCAAAACGCGGAAAGGAAGAAAAGACGCCATCAGAACAAATGCACAATTGTTATTGAGAACATTACCAATGCCCTTGAAACTCATGTAAAACATCCAAGCATCACATCTAAAGACCAAAGAGAGCATTTTGGAATTTTGGGAAAACAAAAAATTGACGATGCCAGAACTGTATAAGCTCTCAAAAATTATTTTAGCCGCTCCGGCTACACAGGTCAGCGTGGAACGTCTATTTTCCGCTTTAAAATTCATTCTATCCCTGCTAAGATCTAATCTTTCAAAAGAATTAGTCAATGACATTCTCGTAGTCCGTTGCAACCATTTCTAAAATTTTGCCACTATATAATTAAGATATCTAGGACAGAGAGAATTAATATTCTATATTATAAACTACTTTCCAATTATATATTATAAACTATTACTTCTATGTTATATGTTATAATTATTATTCTATGATACATATATTCCCTGTTACATTCTATTCTTATAAACTACATTTTAATAAAATTGATTTCGCTAAAAAATTGACTCATGTGACTGCTTCTAAAAATTTGGCATTATAACGATATAGGAATTAATATCGGTATTATAACGGTATTCGATAACCATAACAATATATGAAATTATTTCAATACTGAAATTATTTCGGTATAGCCGATTACGATATTCCACTATTTCGATATTCAGTTTTGTAACTGTAATAACGTTACCGGTAAATTAAACGGTATTGGGTCTCCACAAACAAGACACGATTATAAAATATATAATGTAAAATGCTTTTAATTAAATATTTGATCGCAAAATGTATAATTTAAATTACAAAACCTTTTTTTAGCTAAACAATAGCAAAATCTACAAGATACACATTATGATGGATTGTGAGGATATAAATTCTAATTGTACTAATGAACCGATTGTATGGGTTGACAATATTGACTGTAACTCCCAAAATCTCTCGCTGCCAGTTATGGATGCGTGTAAAATTGGAAATGTAATTATGTTTTCATAATTATTAAGTAGATATTATATACACGCACACACGCACGCACGCACGCACGCACGCACACAAACACACATATGTAAGAATAATTTGAGAACGTACGTATATGAATGTATTTTTGAGTACATTGGAGTTTTGTTTATATGAGACCTGATTCGAAATCGGCGACCTCCAAAATCTTTGGTTACAACATTTCAACGGAAAGGAAGTACTCTGAAAGCCTCAACGAAAAGAGGCTTCAAGGCACGTAGCATTTCCGTCCGCCAAATTGGTTCAGCCATTTTGAATTTTCAAATTTTAAGTTCGGTTTCAGCATCAGCGACCCCGAAAACCTTTTAATACTACATTTCGCAAAAATCGGAAGACTTTTAGCATTTTCGGTAAAACTTCAATCCGTCATATTGATTCAACCATTTTGAATTTTCAAATTTTGAGACCGGATTCGAAATCGGCGACCCCCAAAACCTTTAGATATAACATTTCAACGGAAACGAAGTACTCTAACAACCTCAACGAAAAGAGGCTTCAGAGCACGTAACACGCCAATTTTAAGAGTAGAAAAAAATTGTCATAAATTTTATTTTGACAGTCGGAACAAAACCGTCTAGTTTTTAAAAAATAAATTGATAATTTTAACATAATGTTAGTGTAAATTTGGAATAATGATTAAAAAACATACATGATACATATATGCTAATACATGAAACAAAATTACTTCTGTTCTAACTTATACTTTAAGAACATTCTAATTTGAAAGTCTAACAATTTTTTTATTTCACAGGAATTGACAAAGTGGCAAAAACAGAAAGAGTTATTTGAAGACCGATATGGGTCTAATGAAAATATATTCCTTAAAGCTGTGTTTTGTATAAATATTATGAACGATTATGTCGATGATACAGAATATTTTTAAAATTGTATTTTTCAAACATATATCTGAATATTTTTAAAATTGTCTTTTTCAAACATATATCTTCTACTACAATGTAATTTCATTAAATATATATCTTTTATTATAACATAATTTAATTAAAAATAAACAAATGAAAACAATATGTAAATATCATGCCATGTAAGAATTAAGATTAGAAAGTGTATTTCTTCTTATATTCAGTTATTGATTGATGACGTTAATTATTGCTATTGTATAGGTTTTAAGAATATAATTAAGATATAATAAATAATCAAATACTTAGATATTATACGTAATCAGAATTTAATGTTACTATAAAATGTATTCCTTTATTTAAGATCAATTATTTGACTGTTATTAAAAAACCTAATAAAAAGAGAAAGTGAGAGAGAGAGAGAGAGAGAGAGAGAGAGAGAGAGAGAGAGAGAGAGAAATTAAGCCTTCGTTTGATTTTCTACCAAAAATTGCTCGAGAGATGCCAAATGCTCTTTGTCAGGATCATACATTTCGACAAACTCTGTCCAAATATTTGGTTTATGTCCTTTCAAATGATTGATTATTTTTCTTGCCGTGGATTTCTGCTTTTCGCTGCATTTTTCGCAAGATGCAAGTATCATATCCGGGAGAATATCTATGCAGATAAATCAAGAAATGTATAAATATTCATTTATCTCAATGTATAAATAGTATACGTATATATTTCGAGGATCATATTTGAATATCAACTATTATTTTCTTTTGTTACATTTTTTATTTTTTCATTTAAATACCTTTTCTTTCCTTTCTTTTATAAAAAATGCGGTACGTACAAAATTATTGCAATATATTGAAATAAAATACATACTGTAATGTATACTTACTTTTAAAACTGCGTCCATCGGCGGTGCAAGGGCCTTTATCGAGAATGCAATTCACATATTGATTTAAAAGACGATCGCTATTAATAATCGCATCCACATCTACATTATCATACGTATCCGAATAATATTCTATTCCTGAAACGAGTCCAGAGAACACGAGACTACACAATAGTACAAATGTGAATCTCATCTTTTATACAATTCTCTCTGTAAAAACTTATCCTGTGTAAATTATAATAGATTATTCTCAAATTCTTTTATTAATTATTTCAAGAGACTCATTAATTTATTTTTAATAGAGTGCAAATGAAAATAGAAGAAAATTAACTCTTGTTTTTAATCTTTACAAAACGATTCAGCATATTCTTTTTGTCGTACAAACATAAAAGCGTTATAATGTAATATTAATTTGAGAGTTTTATAATAGAGAAAGAATAACTTTTCTATAATAAATAAAGAAGAATTTTTATAAAAATTTTGTGCAATATAAGTGATTTCCTAGATAAAATTTAAAAAAAATGGAAACACACGTATGATGGTATATATTCTCACCTTCAAAATTAATGTAACCGATGTATTTCGGCGGAATTAGATTTAACACTTTCAAGCAAAGACACAATTTCGATAAGAAGATACGTTTAAGTTAACGTTATATGATGAAGCATTTGACTTTGTACCAAAGAAAGAAAAACTTTATCATCAAATTTATATGCTCGTTATTATTTTCGCATTTGACGTAGATGAATAGTTTACAAAACGTGAACTTTCATATATACAATTTGTTATAATCAAAACAATTAATGCTGATTTATGCATAATTTGTTAACACGGAAACTGATTCAATTGTCATGTCACGTAAAATTCTTTTGAAAGAAGACGTGACAATTAGCGATTTTTAAGTACGTTCAGAATCGTGTAAAAAATAAACTTTTAACACAAGATCATGTTTTTAAGGTCTGATTTTGTAGTATTGATAACTACACGTTCTAATTGTATTTTTTTATATTGATTTGCAATTTAATGATGTCATAATTTTAATAGGAATAAAATCATAAAATTTATATACATATATAATAACCAACAATAATACTCATGAACGATAATGAAATCCTTTCTGTAATGTAATGTTAAATATAACCAAAATATTTTTGTGCAATGTGAAATACAAATTATATTTTATTTGTTCTTAAAAAAGTACATATTTATTAGTATTTTTTCGAAGCCAATAGTAAATTATTAATTAATGTCCACTTTATATTTCTAACAACTTCTTTTCCGTTATTAAATTTGCAAATATGTATAAATATTTCATAATTCAATAATTATACATTTAATAATAATTATATGTTCCAACAAACCACACTCAATCTTATAAGGAAAGAGATCCAACTGTCCCCCTTGAAATCATTCATCATTTCATTTTAAAAAGTTTTTTCTATCTCTAAAGTTTCGGCGATATTCGCTTCGGAAGAGAAAAGCCGATTTTTTTCCAAAGAGTGTTTCACTCCTTAAAAGTGCGATTGGGTACGTATAAAAAAAATACGTACGTGTCTCGCTTATTTTTTTGTCTGGAGAACAATATACTACAAACTTATCAAAATCAGAAGGGGACAGTTGGGTTCCTTTTCTTATTAGTTATATGTTCATTTATATTAATTTGTATAATGTATAATTAAATATACATATAGCAAAAAATAATAATTTCTATAAAAATAAACACCTATTCTCTTCTGAAAATATAAAACATTATAGTTGCAATTGCATTATAAAACAGTCTGCTCTTTCAGAAATTATTATTTCAAGCTTTACATTTTTCACAATATTTCTGTTCAATATTATATACAATATGTATACATGTACGTTGTATATACATATACGTAAGCATCTCTTATTAGCTTATTACATCCAAATTCATTGGAAGCTTCATTTATTATACTTGAATAAATTATATTTCGCGTTGTGTTTTTATATTGTTTTATTCCTCAAACAATTTTATATTATAATTATAATAGCTTTCTCTCTCTCTCTCTCTCTCTCTCTCTCTCACACACACACACACACACACGCGCGCGCGCGCGCTCACATATCTGAAAGAATTCTTTTAAATATTTTTGAAACATCTTTTAAAAATGTTTAAAAGTTAAATTATTATTTTAAGTCATAAATTTATACATATATAGCTGCACGTTAGATTACGTGTTGCAACTGCCATCATGGAATTTATTTGATTGCTAATATTTTTAAAGCTTTTCTAAAAGGATTCTCTAATAAATACCTTGTAAACGAGAATGGATTAAAATGAATTGAAATTTTTTCTGAATGCGTATTTTAAATAGCGAATACTTTGTTTGGATTTAATTGGATTCAATTGGATTCAATTGGATTCAATTAGATTCAATTGGATGCAATTGGATTGAAAAACTGCATTTCCTATTCAAAATTTTGAATTGAATAGTATTCACATTGCACAGAAAAAGCTGATATTATTTTTAGATTAAAAAGCATAAAGGTATGCTCCACGCATTCCTATAAATGAATAAAAATGCATTCAGAATTGAAAAGCATTCATTTTAATATTCGTGAATCCATATTTCTGAAAATCTGAATCCATTTCAATCCATTTCAATCCATTTCAATCTATTCTCGTTTGCTGGGTAATATCTTATACTATAATATTTTTAATATAACATTAAATCTTAACTGTTGTTATCGTTCTAAATTCCACCATAAAAATATTATAGACACCCTGGCGGAAAAAAATTTTTATGAAAAAGCATAAAAAAATTATGTAGATTAAGACAAGATTTTAGAAATTCTTAGTTTTTCGTAGATATTCGTAGTGGGATGTAGTAAATGGCGTTGTTTGAGGATTTCTAGGTTTTCTCAAACAAACAACACTGCTCTACGTCCCACTACAAATATCTATGAAAAATTAATAATTTCTAAAATCTTGTCTCAATCTATGTAGTTCAATATTTGTAGTTGTTCAACATTTAAAAATATAATGTTATGAGATTTAAAGAAGATTCAGTTGTGGTACTGCAAAAATGTTTAAGAAATTAGTTACCTGATTGCAATGGACAGTTTTAAAGTTAGTTACACTGGAGGTATTTACTAATTATTTTACATACTATAGAGACTAAATTATTATATCGATAACATAATACTTATTTTCCATTTATATTTTACTCTTTTATTTTTTCACCTTTGTTAAGATAAGCATGAAGTCATAAGATCAAATTGATGACTATTGCAATCGGGCGGTTGTTTCTATTTACATCTGAATATATTTCTAACAGAATATAATTCATATATTGAACCTTGAACTCGAGACTGTAATCTTACCGTCTCGATCTATAGAGAAGTAACAAGATTTTTACATTTAATTATACCATCTTAACAATATAATTAAAATCCAATGAATTGAGAAGAAACCTTGTTCAGGCCTGCAAACGTATACATATATAATATTACAGTATTACGTCCCGTAGACGCCACGATTCTTTACTTTCGGAAAACGGCTCCACGCCGCGATTGATGATGGAATTTATGAGATTCAAGTGCAGTCTTCTGTTAAGAATTCGAAAGAATTTGAAGCTAAAACTGAACAGCTTCCACGAAAACTCATAAATGCCATTCAAGAAGGAAAGAATAACAACGCCGATGCTGGAAGCGCTAAGCTTGCGAAATCTATATATCTACGTCATATCCTAGCTGCCACCCGAGGCAGACTAACAATTCCATATTAGGTAAAAACGCGGGGCTAGAAGCGGTACGATTGCGAAATACACCTATACAAGCAAATAGCGAACCCCTAAGCCACCACCCGAGGCTAACCAACAATTCCATATTAGGTAAAAATAAAGCCGGCGCCACGTCGCGCCAAGACATAAAATGCTTCAAAGAAACTTCCCATGTTAACGTTATCTGGGATCAGACTTAAGATTGATAACAGTTACCCTGCACGCAAACATCCTAGCTATATTTTTCGCGGTATAATAAAGCTTGACATCCACTCGGAGCAATTTTCCCGCAGACTCGAGAAAATCGCAAATTACTTCCCCTTCAACAACATACTTGAGATCAACCATGATAAGGCTGCATTTTCATGCTGACGCTTGATTCGAGCGTCAAACTGGT